ACGCTAGCGCACTCAAAAAGAAGTACAACTTTGCTTCTAGGTCCTTCAAAAGAGTTATATCGCTAGGGCAAATTCGGAGCCCATTGGCGAGAAACTAGTTCGCCTTTCTTCGTGAAACTCGTACGTTCTGATCTCCCGCCAAGGCTGTCCATGGCAATTTCTGTAAGCCATCATTAACATCTATATGAAGGGAGGATGACTCGCTGGCCCCCGCCGCAAAGGAGAATATAAGTTCTATCGACTCTCGACGACAGGGGGAATCTACCGCCTACCAACCCGAAGTGTGAATGCTCCAAGCAGATGTGCGGTTCACACAGTACTCATTGTGTAAAGCACTACTCTCCCTGAACGTCTATAGGTGCAGTGTGCCTGATGGAATCTCCCTAAGTGTGCTGAAGACGTGTGCTCCAGAGTTACGCACCGGGACTCACGCGTCTTTTTCGGTTCTCTACTCTTTAGACGTCGTTCCAAGCTCTAGTGCACCCGATCCCTAAAAAATGTGACCGCTTGGACCTGTCCAAATACAGGCCTATCACCATACTTGTTCTCCAAAACAATGGAATAGATTATTTACTGCAGATCACGATGTACCGTCAATACGGTTTCCGTCGAAGTCGCTCAGCTGGTGGATTTCTTGTTTACTTGACTCACCGATGGGTGGAGGCAGACGAGATCAAGTGGCCCTGGCGGTCAATTTGGACATAGCGAAGACCTTCGATCGGATTTGGCACCAAGCGCTCCTTTCGAAGATTCCCTCTTATGAGCTTCCCGAGATATTATGCAATTGCGTCACCAGTTTTCTTACAGATCGTAGTATTAAGGTCGTAGTGGACGGTGCATGCTCCGACTCCAAGCCTGTCACCGTCGTCTTCTCTATACTTTCTTGTTAACAAATGATACATATAAGTAACATTCATTGTTATGGAGCGGACAGAACTGGCGATGCCTTATACACCGTCCGTGTTAATAATTCTCGGGAACACGTCGTCAAGTGCCGGAACAAACTTGTGTCTGAAGTAGAGTCTTTCTAAATCTAGTTTAGTTTAACCTCCAAAAGACACAGTTTTGCGCGTTTACCGCAAAAAAGAACCACTTTATCTTATCTCCTCAATTTCAGGGCACTCTTCTTGTTGTTTCAGCCAGCTATTAAATCCTTGGACTCGATATTTCGAGAGACGTACAGTTCCGCAGTTACTCAGAATGGAAGGCTAAACTGGCAACAAAAAAGCTTTATGTGCTTAGTAGATAGAGACGGTATTTCACACCGGCCCACTGCTTGCAGCTTTACAAAGCGCTGGTTCCGCCACATTTGGAATACTGTTCCCATCTCTGGGCCGGAGCACCCCAGTATCAGCTCAATCCACTTGACCGTATTCAATGAAGAGCACCCCGAATCGTCGACGACTGAGTTCTTTCCGATTGGCTTGATCCACTAGCCTTGCGAAGAGACGTTGCATCTCTATGCACCTTTTACCGCATTTACGAAGGGGAGTGCCCAGAGGAATTCCATCTTACACTACAACAGAACTTGAAATTCTATCCTCATCATGTCGATGGCGAGCGGTCCACTACTGTGCGATTTACGCGGAGTTTTCTGCCTCGCATAACCATTTATTATCGCCAGCGGTTTTTCCGACTTAGGGACTTTCAAGAAAACAGTCTTCTCTTTTCTAAAAGGCCGGCAGCGTACCTGTAATTCCCCTAGTGTGGCGAATATTCATGGGCGACGGTGATTACTTACCGTCAGGTGAGCCACACTTACGAGTACTTATTAAAAATTTCCCCGCGCGCCCCGTTTGAACCTTGCGCACCTAGGCACGTGCCTAGTTTGCCTTGAGGATAATCCGCCACTGCTGACTAGGTATGCGTAGATATATTTGATTTATAAGTTGATTACAATCTAATTCATTATGACAAATTTTCTATAAGAATAATTGATCAAAATATAATGTTCTCATTTATAGAATGGAAATTGAGAATTTATCTAAAAGAGTATGATATGATGACCATTTCCTAAAGCATTTATAGTTTAAAAACCGAAGATATCTACGTTGTACCAATTCCAACTGATCACTATGTTTTTTATAATGTGGGTTCCAAACACAAGTAGCGTATTCGAATTGTGACCTATGAGTTATATATTACATACTAATAAATACGTCGCAGACCTTTTGAACATATTACAGGCCGTCCTTAAGAAAGCACTAAGCTGAAAACCTTTAACCGTAATGTCACCAATATTGTGTGCATCAAAATGTAGCTTCGAGTCAAATACTATTCCCAGTTCTTTTACTATGGAAACTTTTTCCAAGACAGTGTTACAAAGAGAGTATGTTAAATTGATGACATTAATACTTTTAGTGAATGTGATGGATTTACATTTTGATAAGCTCAGCTGAAAATTACTTACTGCATCATAAGCAGACAAACGATCTAGATCATTTTGTAATTTAACACAATCTTCAGTTGTGTTTATTTTCCGAAAAATTTTAAGGTCAGTATGTAATAGGAAATGGGTGTTTTTGAAGCATATATGGCAGCAATACTCTAGGCACGATCGGACTTACGATTTATGAAGAGCAAGCAGCTGTCCCGGAGTGTAGTACCGCCGCACCTTGCAAGGACTCCCTTCCTTACAGCTGCTTTGGCCTTGGATCCCACCCCCCAAGTTCAGGTTTAAGAAAATCTCAACCCCCAACAACTGAAGGCGGTCGATATAACAGTGATACAAGTGATACATCGGAAAGAAAGAGCAAAAGTGTGCTGGCTCCTTTTTGCAGTGAAGAGACACACTTGTCGTTTGAAGGCGTGAAATCTTAGAAGATAGGCATCGCCCCACTCGGATACTGCCTACAGGCATTCTTGGCAGAAATGACATAGATTCACACGCTGGCTGGCGCGAGCACTCGGTTGGTATATCTCCACAACTATGCTGTCATCTCTTGTCATATCCATAGATTGGAGGTCGATGATTAGATACCGGACATAAGTAGATCATTAATATTTTTTTTTTATAGAAGAGGGGCACACGAGCATGCTGCTCACTAGATGGTAAGTGACTACGGCCGCCCAGTAACACCCGCAATATCAGGGGAATTGCAGGTGCGTTGCCGACCTTTTAGAAAGAAGTAAGCAGCACAAAAAGAGTTACGGAGATAACGGACCCTGAGGAACTCCGGCGTTAGTTGCCATAAGATCGGATGGCAATTTTTTTTATAGGTGACAAACGAGCACACAGTCCACCTGATGGTAAGTGGTTGCTGTGAACCGTAGACATCTACATCTATCCTTAATAAAGAATCAAAATGCAGATGCGTTAGCACTCGTGAGGCCTAAGATGGAATGCCTCTTTTCCTGCGGTTCTCTACACTCATCATACGAAGTATAATAAAGAAGTAGTATAATAAAGAATAACACAGTAATGTTAAGCTACTATTTTACGCTGGTATTCTGTGAGAGCGTGGTGCTTCCCCAGTCAAACCGATCCATTCATGCTACAACTATACTACTAATATAGCTGCAACATGGCTCTACCAGGTATAATATTTTAATTAAATGTTTTAAGTGAGTGCCGCCAAATAGCAGAGTATGCTGTGGTCCAGTCTGAAGAGTATAGAGAGTCAGTATAGTTACGGACTGTGAGGCTTTCCATGTTAGTCCTAAGAAGCAACAACGCACCTGTAGCAGCTTTTTGGTTTGAAGTTGGCCGCAGGTGTCACTTATCAGCAGGTTGACTGTGAGTTCGTTTGTCACTTCATTTTTATAAAGAAAATTATCTAAAATAAGCCTAGCAAGCTAACAGCATGGCGAAGCAATCAGCTTTGTAGCGGTTTCTAACAGTTGGCGTTGAGCAATCAGTTTCAAAATAGGAGGTTCAGATGCCTGGGTGATCAGTAATCGATTGCTGAAAACAGAATTTGAAAATTCAAAACCGTTCTCGAGATAATCGTGGGACAGACGGACAGACGGACAGACGGACAGACGGACAGACATCGTGAAATCAATAAGTGACTTCGCAAGCTTCGCCACTTAATAATGAGAGATACAGAAAAGTTAAATGACTTCGACATCTTTCCGATAATCCAAGCAAGATGATTCCTTTGAAACTATTAAAATGTGAAACTGGGTCACTGGCAAGTTGCATAAACACCAAAACAAAATTACGTAACAAAATATTTTAGTGTTACAGCGCAACACTACAATATTCTCAGTCTGCTAGATTTCAGTTCAGAATCAATATTTCGCAATCTCTACATCATTATTTATAAAGAAAGAGCCACGTGAGAAAGATATCCAAGAAATTATTTAATTAATCATCTCACACGGAGACGGCAATGCGAGCAAAATTTTCTTTTCCAAATTGTGAATAAAGGGCGTGCCACTTCTTAATTGTGCCGAAAGGAGCACGCTGTAGGAAACCATGCGAAACTTGTCGCAAGGTATCATGATTCCGTTACTTCGGTATACACTACTCGAGTCGATCATGAATGGCCGTTTTTTTTTGTCGCGTTTATTTCACACTTCCCATAGTCGACGCGAGTAAGAGGCGCCGTATGGTAATTATGGTAATGAATGCTTCATTGATTGACATACAAATATAAACAGTTAACAAAATTATAAGGTATAATAAATTTTAATATGAATTTTTATTTGGTATTCGCATAGCTCCTAATTCGGAACATGAATGATGCATAAAGAAAGCGACCAACATAATATAAATAATTATAAACAAATATGTTTTATTTTGTATTGCGTATTATAAGGAGTAGGTTCCAAGCCCACTATCTAAGCCTGCGATCCTACCACGCACCAGAGTAAGCAGTGGGGTGACGCGGCGGCGCTCCTACTCATCGTCACTCGCTCAGTTGACGCGTATCCGTGAACTTGGCCTGGTACGGTCACCCTGGCCCCGAGGCCTTATCAGAGGCGCCGCCCGCGGCCTATAATAGGTGGGTCGGCGTCTCCCGCTGCCTCCAGAGTGAACTGTGACTTCGGCAGACATGTTACGCACCTTGTGCCTCCTAGCTGTGTTTGCGGCAGCACGCGCCTGCAAACCTTGCAGTGAGTGTACCTTTACAACAATAATCTATACATCGAGGTTATAATATTTATTAATTTGTGTGTTCGCGTCGTGCCTGGAAAGCGCGGGAAATATTGTGCCAATGGTATGGTTGTGACAGAAAATAGAGCATAATTATGTTTGCTCCCTACATATATTATTATTTTTTACATGTATAGAATTCATCCTGGTAAGTTATTCAAAACACTTATACTTATATAAATTCGTATCTTATTTATAAAATAACAAATAAGTTATATATTTTTAAACGTGTGACACGCATTAAGACTGAATATTATAACTTTTTTCTGGAAATATTTTTAATAAAATTTTATATTGATAGTTCTAAATTTAAACTTGACCTACTTTTAATGCGTAATCTGTACTCACACTGTAAGCGCTTGATGCGCAAACTTCCGTTTTAATATCATATAACACTAAATAGATTCTCGGTGTCGGTTCCTTAAGTTATATCATAAAACATGAATAAAATAAGCTTTGAGTGTTTTAGAGAGTAAAGCACTTACGATAAATGAGTATAAGTATCCGCTACACAGAATTTGTTTTTATATAAATAAATATTACTTGAGGACATTTTAGAAATAAAGTACATGCAAAAGGAGAAAGCGAAAACGTAGTAAGAAAGTATTTTATAAAGAAATAGAATCCTTTATATACTTATATTCACGTGTGTGAAAGATACCTATAAAAAATGTGACGTTAGATTCAAACTATTAACATCGAATAAAATTACAGTTACTTAGGCAAAGTTTCAATTTATAACGGGTCAACATTTTGATTTAAGATGGTAATTTCTAAACGCGTAGATGTAATAATCGATAAAAAATTAAGGCTATCTTAGCGTTCCAAAAAACTTTCCAGTATACACATTAAATATCTTACAAACTAAGACGCATAATCGAATTTGATGAGCATACCAATTACCAACAGGCACATAATTTTCTATAGCTAGTTATAATTTTAATAATATTTTTACTAAATATTAATTAGAATTTGAAAAGACACGCATTTAACTAATTTTTATGTTTTTGATATATTTTTTGTACCAAATTGACAGCGTGTCGTATCGATATCTAATAAAACAATTCGACATTTTATCAATACGAGTATCTTTAATAATAGAATTTACTTTTTAATTGTATTTGTGGGAATCAGTGTATTTATGTAGGCGTACCAAGATATCGAAGAAATCATTCAATTCTAACAGCAGGGCGCCATTCCGGCTCAATGTGTAGGCATATTTCTCCCACTTCGCGAACTTCGTGATATCCTGAGGATAACAGTTTTATCCTTATCAAGAATGTTAGTGGAACACAAGGAACTGTAAAGTCGCAATTTTTAATGTACACTGTAGATTATTTTACATTCTCTTTAAGCTGTAAGCTACATTGGATTGCGCTTATTTTGACATATAAAAGGTGAAAGGGTTAGGTACAGAACTTTTTGTATCGAGTCTGCCATTATTTTTGCGATAAGTAAAATCGTTTACTAATTTTAAATACTTAGCAAAAGTTACAGATAATATACATATAATACATGGTAGAGCCATGATGCAGCTATATAAGTAGTATAGTTGTAGCACGAATGGGTCGGCTCGAATACCAGCGTAAAATAGCAACTTAACACTGCTGCGTTTCGTATGGTGAGTGTAGAGAAACGGAGACTCTTTTTACTGGAAAGGAGGCATTTCATCTTAATCCTCACGGATGACAATTGATTCGTAATCGAGAATAGATGTAGATGTCTATGGGCACTTACCATCAGGTGGACTGTGTGCTCGTTTGTTAATTGTTGTGTATTTGTTGTTCACCTTTATCCCATAATAATTTGTAATTAAACATTTTGTACAACCGATTTCAATATAAACTATTAAGAATAAACAAAAACTATTGGTCAGACCTTGATCAAATTTATATGGGACCACATGAGAAGCACCAGCTTTCAAATAAAAAAAGAATCATCGAAAATGAAAAAAAAAAAAAAATTTTCCCCGTCCAATTTTATTGAAATGTTTTTAAACTGATTACTACTAACAACATCTTATTTATTTTCCCAAGGACTGATAAAAATACATTCTTACATACGTCCCATTGCCAGAAAGAAATCTGATTTACTTTCTGATTTGTAACAGTTTCAGGGCAGCAAAAATTCAAAAGCACACGGTCCCTTAAAAATACCCTTTTACACTCTAAGATTATGTGGGACATTATATATTATAAATATTTATTCTCTACTGAAATATCCTTCAACTATAGGTTACAAACGGCGAACTTAATGCCATATCGCATTTTCTACAAGTTAACCTTGGAAGAAATGGAATAAAAAATGTTTTATTCCATTTCTTTGTTTATAAATATATATTTTTTTATTAAACTATTACACATCACAAGTATCACGCACTATTTGTTCAGTAAACTTAAAATGATTACCGTCATATTATTATCTAATATCTATTCGGCTATTGGATTCGAAATAGCAATTATTTGGTCTGGAAAATGTTGGAAACCTTTTAGTTACAAAATACGCAAAAATAAGCAGATAAAGCAATTTCTTTTCTGTACTTTATTTTGTAACACTTAAAGTCAAGTAAAAATAAAATTAAGAATTTTCACATGCTCGTTATGAAAACCATGAACGTGTAACATTATCCACAAACTTCACATTTTAGGAATAACTGCTTAACATGAGGAGAAATTAAATTGTTATTTATTATATTAGTCATTTTAGCAGCTGATTTACATGCTTAGTGACAAAGGGAAAATTAAAAAAATATATTTCAAACTTCGATCACTAATAAAAATTCAAAGGTATATATGTATGAACCGCTAACACACACTATGACAGCGCACCGAATTCATGCACCATATCCCAAAACACTCCGAAGTAATGAAAGCGGCCTGTGCCCTACTGTTAGGCGTATGTAGGCAGTTACTTTCTTTTTCACTTCATTTGCAATTCTTAATTAAAGAACCAACCCTAAATAGTTTTTGGCTCATGATCCGTCATTACAGTGCATTCATATTTTTAAGTGAAGCTGTAATTGGCACAAGAACACTGATAGCTGACATTAACCTGGTTTTCGGTTTATTAACTTTGTGATGTTGCCAATATAACGATGACCAAAATCGATTTTGTAATGTGACACATATTTACACTAATGTGAATGTAATTGTAATTTTTTTTTGTGTCAGACGTATGACTGACCTCTAAGGTCAGAATACCTGATTACTAGATCGTAGGTTCGATCCCCAGGCGAAGCGAGTATTTTATTTTAAAAAAAATACTTTTATACACAAAAAACTAGTTTTTGGGTATTTTTGTGTTGTGATCGTTCCTATGTTTGTGATACTACATTCTGTCCTAACTTCCGATTACATCGTAAACGTTTTACAGCTGACATTGATTAAAACGTGGTAGAGCCATGCTGCAGCTATATTAATAGTATAGTAGCACGAATTGGTTGGCTCGAACGGGTAACGACTACGTTTTCACAGAATACCAGCGTAAAATAGCAGTTTAACCCTGCTGTGTTTCGTATGGTGAGTGTAGAGAACCGGAGACCTTTTTTACTGGAAAAGAGGCATTCTATCTTAGTCCTCACGGCTGACAACGCATCTGCATTTTGATTCTTTATTGAGGATAGATGTAGATGTCTATGGGCCACAGCAACCACTTACCATCAGGTGGAGTGTGTGCTCGTTTGTCACCCATATCCTATAAAAAAAGAGCCTCTGCGTTTTAGACTATTATTTATTCTGTGGTTTCAGTGTAAATTTCTAGCTCCACATTATTTGATTCTAAGCCGATATTCTTGCTTGATGCAAAATGAGCGTTTTCAGAATTATTACATTTTAAATTAGATTACATCCAACATCTATACTATCTACCTTTTTATTTCAATTATTTTAAATGATCTAATTTATTTATTGTTTATAATTTAAATATTCACATTTATACTTTTAGAGGCATTCCATCTTAGTCCTCACAGGTGACAACGCATCTGCATTTTGAGTCTTTATTGAGGATAGATGTAGATGTCTATGGGTCACAGTAATAAACAAACCTTTAAAAAAATAAACCTTTATATTTTTTTAGTTTAGTGTGTAAGATCCAATTTTCTTACATTTAGTAGATCAGTAATAAAATATAAGCTCTCCGTTTAAAAAAAACGGATGCGTGCTTTTATAATAATAAATTTTACAATGTCTGTAAATCTTAATACATGCGGTCAAAAGCAACTGCACTGTGTTACATATAGCTGTTATCGTAAGGGTTGCCATTACAAATATTTTCTTTTTTCAATATGTAAATTTATTTAGGATTTTAAAAATTATAATTCCACGGAAATATTGCATTCCAGAAGCACTGCTTCGTTTTCATAATCTATACATAAAAAATATACATACATTTCAGGTTCAGTTATTTTTTATAATATTTAGATATAATGTCGGTCGGTCCGGGTTAACCTTCTGAATGGCTGACTCCATTGTGATGAAACTTTACGGACAGATAGAGAGCAAAGCTAAGGCTATATTTTATCAGAAAAACTTGAAGATTAAAAAAAAACGGAAATTTGATAATATAAGTGGTCTTTGATTATCTTAAAGGTAAATGACCCCACATTAATAGATCCTATCCTATCCTATCTAGTTGTATAATATGATTTAAAATTATACAAGACAATGAGTGCGCAAATATTGTTTTATGTGCAAAGGATTGTATGTTTTTTTTTCTACAAATAAGGGTAACAGAGCAATCGACCGGAGGGTAAATATAAAATATTATTATCAGACACCGTGGCCACTCGTGCTGGGCTAGCATGGGCAGGAGACAATGTTATCCCCGGGGAATGGAAAAAATGTTTATCCCCTCGCTTAGTTTTATTCACCTTTCGAGCATGGGTACACCGTTGGATATAATATCCACAGTAGATAAAATGTGAGATAGACTTAGACTTAGATAGATTTTTTTGTATGAATTTTATATTAAACCCACGTCTAATGAACTAGGATAAAATTGTCCCTTTCGAATATCAAAAAAGCTTTATTTTTTTTCTTTCATTTGACTCCATGCTACGGACGGGGGATATATGTCTACTCGTTATGTCAAACGTGGATATACTTCTCCCCGTTGCCGTGCTTTGGCATAAGGACGAGATAATTTTATCTCTTGTCAGTGGATATAATCGGGGGATAAGTTTTTTGCCCCCCGCCCATGCTAGCCATGATGAAAGCTAAGATGGAATATCTTTTTGGCACTAAAAAGAGTCTTTCTCATCGTCGACCCTACGAAATAGAGCTGCATTAGCTGATATTATACGCTATTATTCTGTGTAAGCGTAACTCGGCCCCGGGCGATCCAAAGTATTCATTCTGTATTATTGTATCTCTATCACACATTAAAAACTTATATCCCATAAAGTATTTATAAGTAAATACTCTGAGATATATCCACAGCAGATAATTGGGCTTTTACAGTTTATTGCTGTAATTTTTTTTAATATAGGATTAGGGTGACAAACGAACATACAGCCCACCTGATGGTAAGTGGTTGCTGAGGCCCATAGACATCCACATCTATCCTCGATTGCGAATCAAAATGCAGATGCGTAGTCACCCGTCAGGACTAAGATTGAATGCCTCGTTTCCAGTAAAGTAAAAAGGGTCTCCGGTTCTCTACACTCATCATACGAAACACAGCAGTGTTAAGCTGGTATTCTGTGAGAGCGTGGTACTCCCCCGGTCGAGCCAACCCATTCGTGCTACAACTATACCAGTAATATAGCTCTGCCACGTAAAATTAAAACTACGTACTATATTTAATATATAAAATTAAATAATATTATATATTAAATATAGTACGGACATATCTCTATTTGTTTATCTATAACTATTTTTTATTTAAAACTATTTTTAGAGTGATGACCAATCTGGTAAGATATGCAGAAAGTCGATGCAGACGGTTGCAGGTAACATAGAACCACGCTTTGTGGCATTCCGGAAACCCAGCAGTGAACGACAGGGAGCAGGTGGCAATGATGATAATAATAACTTTTTGTCATGTTCTAGATAAAATGTTATCTCAAAAATTTATAATACAGACCGAGAATACAGGCAATTTCAGAGTAATGAAAGATAACAGCCTGTATAATTTTCAGCTTTAGGCTTAGATATTTAAGAGTCTCTTTCCACATATTTAAGAGGGTTAAGAAACTTCAATTACAAAAATTAAATAATATAAACTATAATCAAATTATAAATACAGTTCCGTCAATTTAAATTGAGGGTGGGGAAAGTTTTTATCATACTTCTCCGTCCACCTACATCATTGAATTTCACGGAAGGATAACTGTGTGTTCCAAATTATATGGCCTTAAATATAATGCAATATTTGATCTCTATAACACCGTACCGTACTCTTTGTTCGGGAAGATTTAAGCGAGCGATAAAAATGAAGGAAGTTTATGTGTCTCGCACCTGCATGCTGTTAAGGGCTGCCACAAATATTTTCAAAATATAATATAAAGTTTGCCGTGTGACCCGTGTTTTGGCGAAGTAAGAAAAGTACATACTCTCATTTCATTACGTGGGCGCGTAAGAGGGTATGCCAGAAATAACGTGATAGTTTTACCGTGATAGAGCCACTCTCCAGCTAGGCTGCAGTAGATACGAATAGGTCGGCTCGACTAGGGAAGGACACGCTTTCACAGAACACAAGCGTGAAGTTGCAGTTTAATGCTACTGTGTTTCGTATGTGAGTACAAAGACACTTTTTACTGGAAACGGGGCATTCTATCTTAGTCTCCAGGAGTGACAGCGCATAAGCATTTTGATTCTTAATCGAGGATAGATGTAGATGTCTATGGGCCACAGCATCCACTTATCATCAGGCGGGCTGTGTGCTCATTTGTCACCCTTTATCACCATATTTATTGTTTATGCCAGACATAAAATACCAGCGCCGGCGACGGGGAGCGGCGTCAAAGGTGTAAAACGTCAAGTTAAGGCAAAGGCTTCCTAAAACTGTAGAATAGAAGCATGTGTAAAACGGGCTGATATACAGAAGAATGTTTTGATGAGGGCTAATAATTTTCTGCTCACCAGATGTCACTAGTTGACACTGAGGTAAAGTTTTTACTACGGTGGGTAACCGCTCTTAGCTAAGAGCGGTTAGCCACCATAGAGTCTATATCACCTGAGGATGCCTCGTGTAGAGGCGAAACAGGTGTCGTATTATCGTCAGTAGTGTGTCTTGCCTAGTGTAGTGGTGTTGGGAGTAGCGGTGCTGGGATTAGTGGTGACGGGGATAGTGCACGCAATTGAGGGAAGGCGGGAGGTGCTCTTCATACTAGGTAAGACACATCATTTTATTTTATAACACGGATATTTGCGAAGTAAATTTTTCTAAAAGCTTTTAAACTAACATTAATTTAAATCTATTATTTATAAACCATAAGAGTTAATACAAATTTAATTATTACGTTAACAGTAGGTAAGTAGTGTAATAAGTAGGTACGCAGGTAGTTGTACAAAATATAACTACTTCTTGGCAGTCGGGTAAAATGGCGAACTCTTAATGCATTCTTTAGCAGTCAACGATGAAGCATGCTTAAAACTTTTCGTAATAGATTGTCAGAGACACTTGACAGACTATGCTTTTGTGACTATTTCAGAATAATTTTCTGATGATAAAGACGGGGGAAAGTTCGCCACATTGATTATAAAACTATTTCTATAGTTTTATCAATGGCATTATCCAATTCATTTAATTTCTTTTCTTCTTTTATGACATGGTTAATGCAGTTTTACCATTTTATATAGTCAATATTGTATAGCCCTTCTTCAAATAGTTTTTGACGTCTGACATTTTAATAGTGGTATTGTTTCGGTTTAGGTTTGTTATCTCTGAATGACCGCTTCGTTCACCCCACCCCGTACCATGAAACACGCTTAGCGCATAACGATACGTAATCGATAATGAAATGTATGAAAGCAATACCTTCGTTTTGTTTCGGTGCTAACATAATACTTTAGGTCAATGTACGTTTTTCCGCCTGCCTTAGAAACATACTATAGTTACTATTAAGTTATAATCAATTACAAAGTTCATAATGAGAGCTAACCGAACTCCACCCAACAGTCCTTTTTAGACAGACATAATTTATTTTTTGTTTTATATGTGTCATATTTATTGTTTTATATGTTTCATATTTATTTTATATGAAAAACAATCATATAAAATAAATTTTATAAATAAATAAAAAAATGAACGAATAATCTTAATTGATTACACATGTAATGATATTATTACATGTGTAAAATATTTTTTTTTAATATGTTTTATACCTGATGGTTAGTGGCTACTGTATGTATGTTAAGTGGCCATGAAGACCTTGGGGAGGCGTACTTTTTATACTTAAAGGGCGTAATAAAATAACACCCAAGAGATATGGGGCTTAAAGGAAAATTAAGTCAACTTTTCTCCTCACCTTGCTTATCAACGGACGTGACTGGCTTATTTTTGAAATTTATGAAATTGCTATATAACATAGCACACGTTCAGATCCTAACTCTTTTATTGGTTAAGCTGAGGACCACGACTGACTTTTGTACCGAACTCGGCTCCTTTTCAACGTAATTTTTCAATTTCTCGCTTGCAAACAGTATTTGCGCAGTTTTCACTCTCCGAGCAGTGAGTCACAAACATTATCTATCAACTAATCGTAACTTAACCCACTTTTGTGTTTCATTGCTTTCTTGCTGATTTTAGCAGGACAGAGGTTTATTTTGAATCATATTAAAATAAAAATGACTGAATAAGTAGATACCTATAAATATTTAATAAAATTTATTTACATAACATAATATCATCATTATCATTACAGCCCTTCACAAGTCCACTGCTGAACATAGGCCTCCTCCAAGGAATGCCCCAAAGCACGGTCCTGAGCCACCTGCATCCATCGACTTCCTGCATATCTTACCAGGTTGTCACTCCATCTAGTGGGGGACGCCCTACACTTCGTCCGCCGGTACGAGGCCACCACTCGAGAACCTTTTATCCTATCGGTTGTAGGTCCTTTGAGTTATATGGCTGGCCCATTGCCACTTCAGCTTACTAATCCGTCGCTATGTCGGTCACTCTGGTTCTACTGCGGATATCCTCATTTCTAAGTTTATCACGCAGACAAACTCCGAGCATAGCCCTCTCCATAGCTCGCTGAGCGACCTTGAGCTTCCTCATCCGGCCAGCAGTGAAGGATCACGTCTCAGTTCCATAGGTCATCACTGGTTGTACAATCTTGTTTTCAAGTTTTAAGGTATACCTGACGAGAAGATGTGCCGTAATTTCCCGAACGCTGCCCAACCGAGTTGAATCCGTTGATTGACCTCTCGGTCGGAGTTGGCCTTACCTAGTCGGACTATTTGTTCCAGGTAAACTTACTCGTCAACAACTTCGAGCTTAGTGCTCCCAACAACTACATGGACATTAAACATGATCTTTGTTTTGTCCATGTTCATCTTAAGACCTATCCTTTGGGAAACACTATTGAGGTCATTGAGCATAGTGCTTAGGTCCTCCAGCGATTCTAATAACATAATATACAATATTAAAAACTACAATTAAAAAAAAAACTAAAACTAGTAACTTAGTTATCATACAGTCCTAATAAATAATAAATTATATGATGAAATTCTATAATGAATAAAAGTTTTATTTTATTCTCAGCATGCGGGGTGGTACGCGGTGCAAGAGTGGTGGGAGGACGACCGATTTCGCCTGGAGAGCTTCCATGGCTGGCTGCGCTCAAGAGAGATGGTAAAGTCATCTGCGGAGCCACAGTCGTCGCCCGGGATCATCTCATCACCGCAACACATTGCATCTTCGAGTGAGATTATTTTGCCCTTTAATACGCACATACTTATAGTTTTTGTTTTATTTTAGCCTCCGCTGTCATTGACGAGGAACCTTTATAACTCCGTTCTATCCGCCTATGCCAATATGTTACGGCGTACGACTTGTCCATCCTATGGCTGCGCGTAGACAGCGACGACCATCCCCGCGTCTACGGGTGCCTCTATAGGTCCCATAGCGGTAATGCCAACACAGACCGACTCATCGACCACGTCCAAATGGCTGCAGGCTCCGTGCTACAACAGGTCCCATCCGCAGAGATCGTGATACTCGGTGATTTTAACGCCCACCGCGCAGAATGGCTCGCTTCCCGTTTAACCGATCATGCGGGTAGATCTGTGTATGACTTTGCCTTGGCATATGGTCTAACACAACTGGTTACTTCGCCTACGCGGATCCCAGATGTGGAGGATCATGTACCTTCCCTGTTGGACCTTCTGCTGACCTCTCATTCGGACGGATATCAGGTCTCCGTAGATGCCCCAGGGTATGGAACTAGCATCATGCTATAAGCAGGAGTGCTATCGGGCCTGGGCTGACGCATCAACGTCCCAGGATGTAAACACCAGCGCTCTTAAAAAGAAGTATAATTCCGCCTCCAGGTCCTTCAAAATTGTCATTGCCAAGTTAAAGTCAGACCACATCGGCAGAATTGGCGAGAAACTAGTTCGCCTCCCTTCGGGAACTCGTGCATTCTGGTCTCTTGCCAAGGCTGTCCAAGGGAACTTCTGTCAGACATCTCTGCCATCTCTGCACAGGGTAGATGACTCATTGGCCCATGACGCAAAGGAGAAAACCGATCTGCTAGGCTCTCTTTTTGCTTCCAACTCGACTCTAGATGACGGGGGGAACACACCGCCGACCATCCCGCGGTGTGATTGCTCCATGCGGGAAGTGCTGTTTACACAGCGCTCGGTGCGTAAAGCACTCCTCTCCCCGGACGTCAACAAGTCGAATGGGCCTGATGGAGTCCCACCTATTGTGCTGAAGACGTGTGCTCCGGAGTTGGATCCGGTTTTAACGCGTCGTTTTCGGTACTCCTACTCCCTAGGCGTAGTCCCGAACTCATGGAAGACAGCTTTGGTGCACCCGATCCCTAAAAAGGCGACCGCTCAGATCCGTCCAACTACAGGCCTATCGCTATCATCTCCTTGTTCTCCAAAGTAATGGAAACCATTATTAACAGCCAACTCATGCGGTACCTTGAGGATCAACAGCTGATTAGTGAATGCCAGTACGGTTTCCGTCGAGGTCGCTCAGCTGGTGATCTTCTAGGTTACCTTACTTATATATGGGCGGAGGCAGTGGAGTCCAAGTGGGAGGCGTTGACCGTTAGTTTGGCCATAGCAAAGGCTTTCGATCGGGTTTGAGACAAAGCGCTTCTTTTGAAGCTGCCTTCCTATGGGCTTTCCGATAAATTGTGCAATTGGATCACCAGTTTTCTTGCAGATCGGAGCATCAAGGTCGTAGTAGACGATGCATGTTCCGATTACAAGCCCATTAACGCTGGTGTTCCACAAGGCTGCGTGCTATCACCAACGCTGTTTATCATTGATATAATGATATGTTGTAAACCAGTAACATTCATTGCTATGCAGACGACAACACTGGTGATGCTTTATACACCGGCCGTGCCAATATTTCTCGGGAAAACGTCGCCGAGCACCGGAACAAACTTTTGTCTGAAATCGAGATTTTGTTGAACAAAGTCTCAGACTGGGGGCGACTAAATCTAATCCAGTTCAATCCCCAGAAGACACAAGGTTGCGCGTTTACCGCTAAAAAGAACCCCTTTGTCGTATCTCTTCAGTTTCAAGGCACTCCCCTTGTTGCCTCAGACAGTATCGGTATCCTCGGTGTCGACATATCGAGTGACGTGCAGTTTCGTGGTCACTTGGAAGAGAAGGCCAAATTGGCCTCTGAAAAGCATGGCGTGCTCAGCAGTGCGGGACAGTATTTAATGCGGGCACACCGCTTGCAACTTTACAAGGCGCAGGTTCGGCCTCACATGGAATACTATTCCCATCTCTGGGCAGGGGCTCCCCAGAACCAGCTCCTTCCACTTGACCGCATCCAGCGCAGAGCGGTTCGAATCGTCGACGACCGAGTTCGTTTCGATTGGCTTGACTCACTGGCACTGCGTAGAGATGTTGCATCTCTTTGCGTATTTTATCGCATCTATCACGGGGAGTGCTCTGAGGAATTGTTCGGACTAATTCCAGCCGATCAATTTCAAGGTTACAGATGCACCGTCACTTACTACATGCTGTGAGGCATTCCATCTTAGTCCTTAGGCTTTATATAACCATTAGGAGTATCCAGGATTAATATAAAATGAACTAGCTGTTCCCCGCGACTTCGCCCGCGCGTAATTTATTACGATTGGATTTCATGGTTTAATTTTTTGCACGGAACCCTAACCCTTTTCCTAAAATAAAAGTAGCGTAAGTTACTTCTTATAACATCAACTATCTGCCAGTGAATGTCCCGTCAAAATCGGTCCTGTCGTTTCGGAGATTAGCCGGAACAAACAAACAGGCAGACAGACAGACAGACAAAATTTTTAAAATTTTTTGTTTTTTGTATAAGTACCGTATATACTTTCACATGCATTTAGTAAAAAGCTATTCTTTCGACTTTACAAACAGACACTTCAATTTTATTTATTTGTATAGATATAGATTTAAAGATAAATGTCTATAGTCATAGCATTTACTTACTACCAGATAAACTGAGAACTCGTTTGTCATTCTTAATTGGTATTAAAAAAAACAAAAATTCAATGTCTAGTCCTAACTGAGAGACACAATAAAGAACACTACAGACAAAATTTCGCTAACAAAATTTCTAATTACGCATTCTCCATGTCTATTCGTAACTAAACATAAGGTTCACACCGAAATTATGATATGAATGTTTTTACGTGTACTATGAAAGCAAGAGTTATTCTAGAGAAAGTTTTTTGCTTCCTTAAAACAATCTTACTTTTATACTATAAACATGTAAAAGTATGCTTACGTCAGTATGAATACGTCATAAGACTTTTATAACAATTCCTATATACCTAACAAAATTTTTAGTTATATAGGAATTGTTATAAAAGTCTTGTTTATTGTTTGATTAAACATTTTTAAAACCCCCCGAAACAAAAAGATATGACGATCTTCAAACGGCTGAACAGATTTTCTTAAAACATAGCTAAGAACACTCTCGATTTATTATATTAAAACAAAAGTTTTAACATAATTTTTTAAATTAAAAGGTAATTATATTAAAACAAAATTTTTGTTTTCGATTGCCATTCGAAAGTACGCGGTTATCGACGACGAAGAGCACTTAACCTTTTGCCAACAAGCGTTAATAAATAAATATTTCACTCCACAAAAAATTTCACTTGTTTATTTTTTTTACTTTCGAATGAGTTATACAAATAAGTATGCAAATGGTCGCCATAGCTTGTTCAATAGCAGATGTTTGTGTTTACAAATTTTTTTTAATGTCTATTATTATTGTCTTCCTATTTTGATATTCCACGCATTAGTACCAAACGGTTTGCTTCGTTTTTTGTAATGCGTACAGCAAAGGAGTGGAATAATTTGTTGGCGTCTATTTTTCCGTCCGAATACAATCAGGGCGTCTTCAAGGCAAGAGTGAAGGTGAATAGGCTTTTGTTAAGCTAACTCCGATATTGATATATTTATAATTATCGATATATTGAAAATCCGTATATTTTAAAAATATCAACAGCCCTAGTTTGAACTGATCAGTTGGAATGATCAGTTGAACTGACCGTGTGTGTCGAAATTTTTTTGGATTAAATCCGTTTGAAGTCATCAGTTGAACTGATGTCAGTTTAACTGACCGTGAGTGGGGACTATAAGACAGTGCGATTTACTATCTAGGACTACATAACCACTTTTTTTTATAGGATAAGTGTGACAAACGAGCACACAGTCCACCTGATGGTAAATATTTGCTGTGGCCCATCTACATCTACATCTATCTTCGATTACGAATCAAAATGCAGATGCGTTGTCACCCGTAAGGACTAAGATTGAATGCCTCGTTTCCAGTAAAAAGGGTCTCCGGTTCTCTACACTTACCATACGAAACACAGCAGCGTTAAGCTGCTATTTTACGCTGGTATTCTATGAGAGCATGGTCCTTCCCTGGTCGAGCCGACCCATTCGTGCTACAACCATAGCTGCAGCATGGCTCTACCACGTAAAAAGCACTTACCACCGATTGCGATCGTGGTCAAGCATTGGCTTATAATAAGTAAAAAGAAATATATTCAAATACTTTAAATTTTATCACAGGTATAACCTGTTATATACGTTATAAAATTGAATCCCTGCTACCGGCGCCACTGTAGTTGTCAATGAGAAAAGTCTTTATTTTAAGGTCGCTTTATTAAGGTGGCAGAACTCGTTCTTTCCTCCTAGGAGTCCGTCTTGGTAGGTGTCACATTCTTACGTATTTCTGCCGCCAAATTGATTCAATTCCGGTCAGAAGGGTCAGTAATTTTAAAGGCTGTGAGGCATTCCATCTTAGTCCTTTTATTTGAAGTTGGTTGCAGGAATCCTTGGACTGCAGTAGCCGCTTACTATCAGGTGTATTTTTTTGTTACTTCAGTTTTATAAAAAAAGTCCCGATAAACATAAACACGATATACTTAAGAATCTTTACGATTTTCATTCTACTGTAATTTGTTTTAGAGATTAATGGTGACAAACGAGCATACGACCTGATGTAAAGTGGATGCTGTGTCCATAGACATTTAGAATTATCCTCAATTAAGAATCAAAATGCAGATGCGTTGTCACCTTTGAGGACTAACATATAATTTGTATTTTGAACATAATGTACCTTGTGACACGATTTCGAAACGATTCTTTCATTCCTTTTAATGAAAGTGTACCACCATAAATTTATAACCTTTTAAAATAAATATCGATGCATTTTGCTCTACTT